AGACACCCCTCCCCTCTGGCCCCATTTCCCATCATGCTTGCTATCACGAATGGCATCAGCTAAGGAAAGAGTAAGAGGTCACTCCTCCCATTGTTCTGGAACCCCTGAAGGCAGCCCCCAGACTGCACAGATTAACTACATGGACACACACACACACACACACACACTCACTCACTCACTCACTCACTCACTCACTCACTCACTCACACTCCATTCGCCAAGCTGTATTGAGTGTCTCCTGATCTACTCTGCAGGCAAAGACGCCACCTGGCTACCCCGGGTGCTAACGGTTAGTTTGGGAGAATACCGAACAACCACCACCATGTTGGTAACAGCTCAAGGTTTCTGACCTCCAGCTCTGTGCTAGGCCCCAAGCTAAGCTACTTCTATCTCATCCACTTCAACAGCCTTAGGAGCTAAGCGCCATTAATTATCCCCGTATCAGGGAGGGGAGACGGAGGCTCGGCAAGATATACTGATTTGCCCAAGATCACACAAGAAGTAGCAAGCCAGGACCTGAATTTATGTCTTTCTGACCCTAGATCCCTAGTTATTACCCTCTACTTCCAAAGGACCCTCCCCTCTACACACTCAAGTACACACACAGCCCCGCATCTCTGCTCATCCTGTACACACACAAATCACATACGCGGCGACATGTATCACATACCAGCGCCCCGGGGCACACGTGCTCAAGGAGTCACCTCTACCCTTGTGCACACAAGGCAGATAAATTCCTTATCCACTTCTGTGGTGGTTAAGAATGTGGTTCCTGGAGCCCGACTGCCTGGGTTCGTTGGGTTCCAGTTCTGCCTCTTCCTAATCATCATCTTTGCCTCAATGTCCTCATCTGTAAAGTGGGGATGATGATGACAGTAACACTGCACAAGATTCTTGAAGGTTAAATAACGTATGTAAAGTTAGCACCTGACCATAAGCATCATCACAAGAACAAATGCACACACCCACGTGGATATGCACATGGGCATAACGCACCTCCCGTGTACTCAAAGATACATAGCCTTGTCCATACCTACCCCCACGTGCAGCCCACACGCTGTCCGCCTCTGTGGGAAAGAGGATGCCATGGGCACTGGAGGTGAGCCTGGGAGTCCCATAGGGCTGGCTGATGCCTGAGCCCTCTTGGCCAGCTGGGCCACCCCCAGGGGTTCAGGCTCTAATTGATCCTTGGGGGAGTAGCAGGGACTTTGGTCAGGAGCCCCAGTTACAGCAACTGACGTCTGAGCTGCTGGCCTCTGGGAGAGGCTTGTCAGCAGCCGTGGGTGGGCACGGGCCCAGGGAGCCTCCCCCAGAGGCCCGACCGTGTGACCCGTGCCAGGGCTCCTGGGAGGTCTGCATGGAGCTGGGGTGGGCCCCTCTGCCCGCATTCACCCATGCCCACCTGGGCGGTGTTTGAGCTTGTCCTCCTCTGCTCGGTGGAGGTGCCCGCAGCCAAGCCAGCAACAGGCAACTCTCTGCAGGGCGTGAGGCAGGAGAGACCTGAGCCTCGGAGCCACTCAGCCTAGCCCTGCACATTTCAGGGCTGGAGTGGAAGCCCAGGCCACTGTTCTCAGCAGAACTGTTAAGGACTCGGGGGAGAAGGAGGGAGCAGGATGTACAAGGAAGGATTCTCGGAGGATGAAATAAGGAGATAGGGGAGACAATGCCAGCAGAAGAGGGACCTGAACCCTGGGATTATGAGGCCCTTGGATACAAGGGGAAAAAAGGTCCATACAGGGGCTGGTCCCCAATATGGCCCTGGGGGGAGGGGGAGAAAACAGGAGGTCAGTAGGCTGATGGACTCACTTCACACCATCTGAGGACAAAGGCAAGCTCAGTTGGGACTGATGGAGAAAATCTCTCCCTCCCCCCCCTTCCCCCCACCTCAGCCCTCCTGGTGCCCACAGAGGGGCTTGCCTCCTTCGCCTTGATTAAGGATGACTTTGGAGCCCAAATTTCAGAAACAGAAGGCTTTGACTGCGGCCATCCAGGAGACCACCAAGTTGCCTGCTTTCCTGGGAAGCCCCGGCTCACACAAAGAAAGAAGGGCATATTCTCCCAGTGGAGACAGAAAGGGATTGTTTCAGAGGGTGGAGTTGGCAGTGGCACACCTTGGTATAGAAGAGGCTGGGAGGGGCTGCGAATGGAGGGATCTTGGCAAATTCTCACCAAGACACATGCTTCCAAGTTCCACTGTTTCTCGGGCACATCCCCGTTTTTTTCCAATGACCGTGAGATCCCTGGATCCAGCCCAGGCCCATCCTGGGGAAGCCCTCTCCTGGGAAGCAGAGCTCCTCTTTGAGGGCGGGCCTTCAGGGTATGTCTGTAGCCCACTGGGATTTGGCTTGGCTTTGGGGGGCCAGAACTGGGGGTGGTCAGGTCGGTGAGGGCCTGGAGGTATGGGGACCAAAACCCGTGTGCTTTTGGCGTCGGGGCCTGGACCTGGGGAGCGTGGGAGAGCCTCAGTCTTTAAGACCCTCCCGAAAGTGACTCCAAGTTGGCAATTATGGTGACTGTTCTTTGTGGGCTCTTGGAGGTTATCCTGGTGAGTGGGAATTTGGGGAGGTACTGGTTACCGAGAGTGGCTCAGAGGGCTCTGTCCTACCGGCTGAGGTCTGTGGTGGCAGGTGCCTCGTGGACTTGGCATTTCATCTCCAGATTTGACTCACCATGGCGGACCTTCAGTCGTGAACCTTGGTGGTTGCTGGGTAGAGATGGCGTTAGTGAGGACACTCCATTCCTGTGACTGAAACCTGCTCTGGCTTAAATAACACGGAAGGTCACTGGCTCACTGTAATTAGGGAGTCCAACAGGGTGGTCCAGCTTCAGCCCACTTAGAACCTGAAGCTCGAAAGATATTAATTAGGACTGACTTTCTCCATCTCTGCACTGTGATGCTGCTTCACTCTCAGGCCATCTCTTCCCACATAGCCCTGCATTTCCTGGTTTACAGGGGACTTAGCCTTCAGATCGCTAGAGCACCCGTGTCGGTTCTTGAGAAAGCCCCAGAACCGTTACAGTGTGCAGGGAGAGGACAGATCCGTCAGAAGATGACCGGGCACGCCCACTCCTGCGGTCAAAGGGGCAGAGCTACCTTCGTGGTAGAAAAGCTCTATGAGATGGGAACCCTATTCCATGGCCTCTGGTCAGGCTCTGTGGAAGAGCCCCCGGGGCTGGTGCTTCTTGGCGGAAACGGCTGGAATTCCAAAGAGTGCTCCCCCAGAAGCCAAGAGAAGGGGAAAAGACCCCTGCGAGTTGATGCCTTCCAGTTTCTTTGGGGCCTCCATCAGCCACCGCCTTGGAAGCAGCCACACGGCTCTGGCCTGGGGCTCCTAGGAGAATAGCAGTGCTGCGCCCGGGAGCCCCCTCGGTGGCCCAAGATATGCATGTGCTCCCCCCCCACCCATCCCAATCTGGGGAAAGACCGACCCTGGCAGAGGAGAGAATGGAAGGGGGGAAGGCCTCCACCCTGGGTTCCAGAGGGGACAGTGACCCAACAAAGGCCCCTGAGCCAAAGAGGCCTGGGCCTTGAGCTTCCAGACCGCTCGTCCAAGGCTTTTCCTGTTTGTTGGTTAAAACTGGGATTTTTTTAGAGCGGTTTTAGGTCTAGAGTAAAACTGACCTGCATAACAGAGGTTTCCTGTATGCTTCCTGCCCCCATGCATGCAGGGACCGCCCCCCTTCAGAGTGGTTCAACTTGTTATGGATGAACCTGTGCTGACACGTCCCAGTCACTCAGATCCGTAGTTTACATTAGGGTTCACTCTCGGTACTGTGTGGGACAAGCGTGTAATGACACATCCATCGTCACGGTATCGTACAGACGTTACCGCGTCTTGTGGGCTTTGCAGAGCTGCAAGCAGAGTGTTGTGGTGGAGCTCCCAGGAGGGCGGGGTTGCGGTGGGCATTCGAGACTGGATCACAGGCTGTTCACTCTCCCAGGCCTTTCCCATGGGGCAGCGGGGACCTAGTGGAAGACCTAGGAGGTGTCTCAGGGTGCCGAGGGCCTGTGCAGGGGTGGCACTGTTTTCCTCTGTCCCTCAGGCAGCCGCCTCTACCTCCCAGTGAGGAGCAGCCGGGAGGCTCCCAGTGGTCCCCCTTCCCGGGCAGCCACTCCCTGCCTTGGGCAGCGATGGGGTCACGTGCTGCCCCAGGAGAAGCCCAGGATCTCTTGCCAGGGCACTGTCCATATTTGGAGACAGAGAGCTTGGTCATGGACAAAAAAGAGAGTCAGTGCCAGATCGCTTTGGGGGTAGAGCAGGATCGGAATGGGTTGGGGGCAAAGACAAGATCCTGTGAAGAGTACCTTCTGGGAAGAGACTGAAGGCAGTGAGTGGAGTCCTGGGACCTGGGTGCTCAGAGTATTTTGCTCAGTCAGCATTTGTTTAAATGATAAATGAACTAACCAACGAACGAGAAAGAAAAGGAGTGAGCTTTTATCATTTGGCCACGACCATCAAGGGTCATTCAGGGGTGCAGTGCCCACTTAGTGTGACTGACATGTCAACACAGTTAAGGGCGGCTGTGAGTAGCACCGACGTATAAATGCCACTGACCCGTGATGGGGAAAGGGGCACGGCGACCACCCGCAGGTCACCGTGATGCATGTATCTCTGGATCCGTCTGAAAGCAGAGAACGCCAGACTCGCAGCCACACCAGGAGTCCTTCTGGGTTTCAGAGACCTCGCATGGTCTCTGTGTTTAGCGGGAGCTTCCTTGGCCTTTCCTGCAGGGTGATTTTCACACATTGGACATACCCCTGTTTCATTTTCATTGTTAAGTTTTTCCTTCGAACTTCGAGTGTAAGTGTGGATCACTCTCCTCTCGAGGAGTGCCTTGGCTGCTTCTTAGTGTGGCTCAGGCTTCTTGAGGCTGGACGTGAGCCAGGCGTTTGCTGGGTGCCCAGGCTGTCTGGCTCTGTGCCCTGTCCCCTCCCCCACCCCCCCCACCCCCATCCCACTGGGCGCTCATGACCGTGTTCTCTCTTGTCTCCTCTGCAGGCTGGTGGTTTGTGAGCACCTCTGAGGAGCAGGGCTGGGTCCCTGCCACCTACCTGGAGGCCCAGAATGGTACTCGGGATGACTCAGACATCAACACCTCCAAGACTGGGGAAGGTGAGGGCCTGCAGGTTCAAGGGGAGGGGGAATAAATGAGGCACATGTGGGGAGCAGGCTGCCTCGGGATCCTCAGGGATTGGTGCCCACCCCACTTCTGGCCCTTGGAGTGAACCCACTTCCTCTGGAGGTAGCTTTCCCACTTGTCCCTAAAATCATCAGAACCCCTCAGAGGAGCTGGGCCCTGTCCCAGGTCTGTCCCTGCTGGCCCTGCATGGGATTCGCATGAGAGGGGAAATTTCCCTGGAGTGTGGGTCTCAGGCTTTGGCAACTTTGGGGCAGAGACCGGAGAGAACAGTCTGAGGACTAGACACCAAAGCTCCCTTCCCCTGCAGAAGCCCTCAGTTCCTCTGGTAGACGCCATAGAGAACCCCACCTTTGCCTCCCCGACCCCACATGGTGCTCTCTGCCACGGGGATGACCCCACGGGGCTGTGTGCACACAGTTTCTGCTCTGGGCGTCCGTTATCCTGGCCAGGAGTGCAGACACAGAGAGCAAGTCTGAGTCATTTCTTGGTGTAGCAGGAACCACAGAGTGGCCCCTGCACCACTAGCCCCTCTGATTAGCTCTGGCCTGGTGGAGGTTTTCTGGCGTTTTCTCCTTGCGTTTCAAAGTGCCTGCCCTCCCCCACCCCACCCCACCCCCACCCCCGCCGGGCCAGCGCTGGTCTGGTCAGCCTGTCTGTGGACTCCGGTATTCGCCAGAGCAGGCTTCCTGAGCCCAGGGAGTCTGAGCCACCTCCAGTTCCTGGCTGCCTGCTCCTAATAACTGCCAACCCCCCCCCCATGTCCTGGCAGGAACGCTTGCCCTAACGGTCAGTAGGGATGGTCCAAACGGGCACATCTGAGAGCCAGGGCAATGGAGGCCTGTCACCCAGGGCTCAGGCCACCTCCAGGCCTGCATCTCCCCCCCAAACACACCCCCTCCCTTCCATGCTGCCCAGGCCAAAATAAGCAGCCTGCCAAGCAAAGGACCAGCTCCCTCTTCCGCCTTCCCCTGAACATCAGTTACTGTGGGCAGTTGGAGCCCCACCCTGCTGCCTCACAGGTCTCCAGGGATCAGGGTCCATCGGGAAGGGTTTGCGTGTTCAGGCTGGGGGCTCGGTCCATCCTGGCTGCTCCAGAGCCCTGGGGCTGGGCCTGCACCCAATCTCATCTCTGGGTCTCTGCAGCGGTGGAGGATTTTAGCCCCTGAGCTCCTCCTGCCCACTTCCACACGCTGGGGTCACCCCCGGGTCTCTCAGGAATAACAATCCCTAGGATGTAGGGTGAGGTCTTATTCACTCCCAAGTGTGTGGCCTGGTAGTTTAAAGGCCTTCCCCACCACCCTAGGAGGCCCTGTTATCATCCCCTTTTTCCAGATGCAGGAACTGAGGCTTCCACACCGTTAGCTACATGCCTGTCCTCGTAAGGCTTGAGCCTCGGTCAGCTTCCTTGGCCCAGTGCTCTTCACCACTGCACCCTATGCCTGTCCGTGAAACGTTCTGCTTGTAAGCAACTCTGAGGGGTGTGTGTGTGATTGGAGCCCCGCCTGAAAAGGCTGTGCAATGATTGTCAAGAGCAGAGATGTCAGGAAACGGAGGACACTGAGTAGGCCGGAGAGGTGTGTGTGCACAGAAGCCTGTCCAGCTTGAAGACAGAACAAGCAGTAGCAGGTTGTAGAGGACTTGGACCTTGCTGGAGGAAGAATCAGGCGGCCAGTGCAGGTTTTGTGTGTGTGCCTGTGCACTCAGGGTGACCCTCTTTCAGATTGATCCTTAGGCATGCTTTTGATAGGACCTGTGTGCCAGTCCCCCCCGCCCCGACTCCAGCAGTGTTTGGGCAGCTGGGAATTTCATCATCCTATCTTGGGCATCTCCACCCTGCTGGACAGGAGGGCTCGGGGTTCAGTCTCCCAGCCGAAGGCCCCAGCATCTCTGTGGTGTGTCCACCAGTCTCTCTGTACCCACCTCCATGTGGCTAAGAGATTAGCCCACCCCGGTCCCCTGTCCAGCCATCTCTCCTCCAGGCCTTTTGCCATCCCATCAAATCTCCCCGAAGGACTCGTGTTTCCTTGCTTTGGAAAGAAGAGACAATTGGCTGTTTTGGTTTATTTCTGTTATCAGACATTCTGGTATCTGCTCGTATTCCTCTGAGAGGTTAGCAGTAGGAGGTAGAAGGACTGGGGTGGAGGTTGAAGACCCTCTTACCCACTGATGATGATGGGGGCCACGCCCAACACTGGCAAGATGCTTTTGTGAAGCACCCGATCCATTGCCTCTGAGAGGTCCAGAGAGGTGTCACCTCCCCAGAGCCCCCGGCTCAGTTTGTGGCAGAGGCAGAGCCAGAACCTGGGTCTCTGCCGGTGCCCGCATGCCCTGGAAACTTCCTCCCTGGTGGGCTTTGCATCGGCACCAGCCCCTTGTTGGGGCCTTTTCCCTTGCTGGGGGGCTAAGGGGCTCAGAGTCAAGGGGGAAGAACATCATCAGGCCGAGAGTCTGGGCTCCAGAGCCAGACCGTCTAGATCCGTGTGCTCCCCCAACACTTAGGTGTGTTACTCAGAGGGTTTCTTAACACCCCTGCGTCTCTGGCTTCCCGTTTTTAATGTGGGGATGGTGCCGACAGCTCAGGGCTTTTGTGAGGCTTCAGCAAGACAGTCCTCATACCTGGTTGAAACTAGAGAGATACCACTTACGGCTAAGGGGCCCCCGGCCTGGGCATCAGCCTCTGCCCACAGGGAAACCACAGAACACACCCGCCCGGGAGGTCAGCTGTCAGAGTCCTTCCCAGTCTGGCCTCAGACAGGACCTCGTTTATTTTCTACAGAGCCTGTTGAGCCCCTTATCCCCTCCCATGCCTGGGCAGGTGGTGTCAACCCCCATGACAGATGAGGGGACAGGCTTAGCGAGGGACAGAAGCCTGCCCCAGGTGACACAGTAACCTGGCAGTGAGGCGTCACCTGAATCCATTGCTGCCGACCTTGTGTCCAGGCCTCCTGCTTACAAGAAGCAGGTCAAACAAGACACTCCTCCTCCCTCAAGGAAAGCAAACACTTCCCAGGGGACTTGGCTCAGGTGTGTCTGGACAGTTTTCCTTTGACTGCTGGCCTCCCTCCCCTATACTTGGGCAACCTGCCACCCAGCTTCTGCAGTGCCAGGAGGTGGGGGCCTCGGGGGTGTTGCCCTGGTCTGGGGTCCGTTCCACTGGGGCAGCCCAGAGGAAGGCAGAGGGCTGGTGGAGCTGGGCTACAGCAACCAGAGGAGCAGCACAAGATGCCACCGCAGAGACGGAGGGCTAGACGGAGGGGTCTGCAGCACTGAGAAGCTGGGGGGCGGGTCCCCTGTGGTTGCAAATCCAGCAGGCAGTGTGCAGTGAAGGAGCAGAATCAAGGCCCATGGCATCCATCCCTGTGTGCATTTCACTCCACAACATTTCCGAGCTACCGGCCGCGTGCCAGGCCCTATGCTGGGCCCCGCGACTGCCTGGAGAGCCGTCCCTGTGCCAGGCTGGGGCCAAGGACCCTTTTCACCTCTCAGGTGCTAGGATTCGAAGTTCTCAGCCCTTCCCAGGCTCACGGATATAAACCATGGCCTTTCCCCCCGTGCTGGTGGTGTCACCGGGCAGATCTGCCCCCGTCCGGCAGGTGTGAGCTGCTGGGGCTTCATCCCTGTGATGAGGACCGGGGAGTATGAACCTTCCCTCCTGCCATCACTCCCCTGCCCCATCTCATCCCCATCTCCATTCTCTCCGCCGGTTCCGTCGGCCGCGTGTTCCATTGCCATCTCCCACACCAGTATCCAAGAGACGCAAGGCCCATCTGCGGCGTCTGGATCGCCGGTGGACCCTGGGCGGGATGGTCAACAGGCAGCACAGCCGAGGTGACTGTGGGAGCTGGCTTCTCTTGATGCGCAGCTGCCGCCTCTCTCCCTCTCGCTCGTGCGCTTACGCCCTGCCTCCTCTCTCAGCTCTGCTCCTCTCTTCCCTGTGGCCTCCTGACCCGGATTCGGCAGCCAGACTTTCTCTCACATTCTGCGGCTGGGGGCCGTCGGGGAGGAGGGCGCAGGGGGCTGCCTGGGAACTGGGGGTATCTCTGGCTTCTGCCAGCATCTGGCGGGTGGGGGTCATGGGACCCACGACGTGATTGTGGGGGCAGCTGGACTAAGAAAGGCCACATTTGCCCTGGAAGCTTCAGATGAAGAGAAGTGGGGTGCGTTCGTCCGTGCGGCGCTGTCCCACTTGTCGTCCACCCTTCGTTGCCCGCTTCCTGTCAGAAGGTGCTCCCTCAGCCAAGCTGGTCTGGCCATTCCTTAGGCACGGAGTGGGAAGCAGGACCAGCCCACAGCCCCCCTCCTTCAGCCAACTAGTTCCAGGGAAACTAGAAAGGGAGCAAAAGCCAGTCCCGGCTTGGTCCCGGGGCACAGCCCCAGCCAGCTCTGAAGGCGGCGGCGGGTTCAGCCAGGAGCCTCGAGCGTCTTCAGCACTAGGCATTGGCACTTTGTGAGGGGCCCGATCAAGATTACAGGGAGGCCCCTGGCCTGCCCCCCAGGATGATCGGCCATCAGGACGTTGGTAGGTTTAGGGCCTTTCCAACATCTAGGAGCTTGGCAAGTAGGGAGATTAGGGGCAAGCCTCTGAACCCCTAAACATCTCTGGAGCCCGCAAGCCAGCGGGGACCCATTTCTTCTGCCTCGCAGAGAGCACGGCTGGAAGGGCGTGTTCTAGCGCAGCAGGGATGCCCTGTGACTCTCACCCCCACCCCCAAAGCTTGTTCCTCAACAACCCTGAGACCATGTTTTGGTATCTGCCCTAAGCCCCAGGCCAGCAAGCCTGGACACTGAGGTGGCCACCGTCTGTGGCTGGCTCGGCATCATGCTCAGAGCCCAGGCGGTGGGAGCCCAGCTTATCCTGAGGGTGGAGCAGGTCAGGAGGTCAAGTCATGGAAGCAGCAAGAACAAGCTTGAACGTAAAGCAGAGGCACCCTGGACCTAGGAGCAGTGGGGCAGCGTTGCTGGGGGGCTGGGCTGGGACGCAGCCCTGAGCCTTGGCAGCAGAGGAGAGTGGGATGCTGGCCTGGAAAAACAGCAGAGACAAAGGTCTGGCCTCCCCCCCACCCCCTCCAGCATCTGCTCCAGACTCCATCATACACCAAGCCCCACACACAACTCTGTCTCCACAGGCTCACGGCCACTCAAAAGTGACGAACGCGCCTACCCGTGGACGGCCCCAACAGCCCCTCCAGCCCACACACGCCGCTCACACGCGCACATACAGTTCCACTTGTGCAAGCACATGTAGCCCGTTCCACACACACATTTACACTCACAAATGCGTCAGCCGGCTGCTCACGGCCATGACGTATGTACCCCTCTGCAGCGGCGGCCGAGTACACGTACGGCTTCGTGTACAGCCTCATACGTAACCCCCCCACCATACGTACACACACAGTGCATTCAGTTACACACAGTGCTACACACGGACGCACATGCCCAGCGAAATGCGTAGTTCTATAGACAGCCATACATGTGCAAATACGTAAGTGAACACAAGCCCACAACTTCTCTCCGTCCGTCTCTCTCTCACTCACTCTCTCTCTCTCCCCCCCCTTTCTCCCCCCCATCCCTCCAATAAGAGACCTAAACAGCATTATTTCCCAGTCTTAGCCCTAAGTTAAATCAGGGCTAAGTTAAATCAGGCAGCCAAGACAAACTTGCAGAAAGTTGGCTGGGAGAAAGTCCGCTGCTAACAGCGGAGCTGATGGGGGGAAACAGGCGGTGGGTCATATACAACTAGACGAGAGAAGCTGTGCTTCCCCAGGGCCTCCACTCCCCAGTCCCTCCACCAACCAGGCCTTTGGAAGCAAAAGGCCTCTTGCAATGGGGTTGGGTAGGTTGTGGGGGCCGGGAGGGGAGCCAGGGAGACTGCTGACGGAGGGGAAAGCATTTGAAAGAGGAGGCGTCTGTGGTTTGGAAACTGCAGGGCTCTCCAGCCCCCGCCTCCAAAACCAAAACAGGCCTGTCCACCTCCCCCAGCCAGCCACCCACCCACCCAGTTGGGCGGCCTGGTCAGCCCTCCCTAGGGTGGAGTTGCCACCAACTCCTTTGATGGCACGTCAGAGTGACCACAGCCCCTCAGTGCTTCCCAGAAACCCTGAGGTGCCCCCCAGAGCTTACAGTGCCCCTCTCCTCCACTTTGATTCCTAAGGGTCTCTTCTAGAGATCCGAAGCACCCCGAATGACTCGGCCCCCACCCCAAGACCATTTCAGTCTGTCCGGGCATCCTCCCTACTGGCTCCCCACCCCCCACCCCCGCTCCCAGGTGGGGTTGTGGCCTGGTCCACTAGAGGGGCCAGCTCTGCTGCTCCATCTGGGGAAATCTGGGAGCTGGGAACCTGAGACCTACGTGGCACGTGTCTACCTGGAGGTAAGCCACGCCTCCGCCACCGAAGCCAACCCTGACAGAAAAGTCAGCCCCCGCCCAGACCGATTGGAAGAGTTGCCCTCTGAGTGCTCATCATCTAGAACCTGCACCGTGACAGGGCAGGACACACCTCTGAGCCAGCCAGACCTCTTCCTGGGACCATAAACTCCCAGACATCTGTGTTCATGGCAGCCTGAGGGCCACCAAGCACAGGGCCTTTTGCAGGAGCAGCTCAGCTTTCCTGGGTAAGACAGAGATGCTGGTTCTGCCCACCCTGAGAGGGTCAAGGGAGAGCAGGGCCCCTATGTAGCCCTTGATGCTCTTGTCCTCAGCACACCGACTGCAGAGGCTGCTGTTCGGGCCTGACGGCTCCGGAGCCTGAGCCCACATGTCCTGGTGAGGTCCTCTTCGCTGCCATGCAGCAGGGCAGGACCCCTCTGATCTTTCTAAGGGAAGGGCTGTAATTTTTCCCTGGAAAAGCAACTTTGCCTAGGAAAACTTTAATGATGGCTTCCTGCTGGAACCACAGGCTTTTAAAAATAGCCCAGCTGAACAAAGGCAAAATGTGGAGCCCAGGCCTCGCCTCACCCTAACCTCAGAACCCTAGATCCCCGGGGCCCTGGCGCTGCCCTTCTGGCCTCGGCCCGGGCCAGGATTGACCGTGCCCCACTGGAAAATGGAGTGGGACCAGCAGCAGGCAGGAGCGTCAAGGGTTGGCCTGCAGAACACTGCACTTCTCAAAGGCCCGAGTCAGAATCTGGCTGGATGAGGTTCTCAGGCAGTCTTGGCAGCTCTCCTCAGCATGGCTGGAGGGGAATCTGAAAGCTTCCAGGAGTTAGTCGATGGTGAGAAAGGCCTGCCTCTGGGAAGAGCTCGCCGTTGAGAAGAGCATGCTGAGGAATAGTGGAGGCTCCCACGGGTCGTCACCTACTTTTGCCTTTGGCGACCTTTTGGATTCAGCCAGGCCCATCAGCACGGCCCCTGCAGCTCAGCAGGGAAGCCACCTCCACCCCAGAGGGAGCTGCTACCTCGGCCCAGCGCCGGGCTACAGGCGGGACCCTGGTAATCCAGCATGAACAGATGGGCCTCCTGCCGTAGGGGCCTGGGGTGGTAGCTGCCCCCCTCCCCGACTCCTGCCAGAGGTTCAGACCAGGCCGCCCATCAGGGTCCCGCTAAGGCGTCTAGGAGTTACCCTCACAGTTGGGAGCTGGGAGGAGGGAGGTAGGCATCTGAGAACCCGGCCTCCTGCTATTTTGAGCTCCTAGAAAGCCTCCCACTTAGTGCCCCTGTTCAGACAGCCTTGCCCTTCAATGATGCACTGCCTAGTCCCTTTGGAGCCCCGACTGTGTGCCGGGCACAGGCTGGAGGGGCCAGCATGAGTTTGGGGTGACCCGCTCAAAGGGTGTGGCTGGGGGGCCAGTTCTGTCTAGCTCAGCTCCTCATTCTCCCAGACGGTGAGGGTGGGGATATGTGTGGGCCTTCCCGAGACCTGAGCGTTCCCCTGGGGAGGCTCTCCACCCAGGAGGCGGGGTGTCCGTGGCCAGGCAGCTGTGGGTCACAGGAGAAGCACCTCCCTGGAAGCCTGAGCTAGGGCCCAGGCAGAGGCAGCAGGGACCCCCTGCAGGAGAGAAGCCGAAGGGATCCAGGAAGCTGGAGCTGTTCCCACACCTGTCCTCCCAGGCTTTTCCTGAGTTCCCATAGGGCGCCTCCTTCCCAGTACCTGGGGGGACTCTGGAGCAGGCAGCTCCACGCACGGGCACTGCCAAACTGGGCGGTCAGCTCGGCACTCCGGGAGGCCCCGCCTCGAGGCTGCACTCGGCGCTGCCATCAGTTCTTTGGCCGCCAGACCCTTGTCTTAAAACACATGTAACTGTTCCCATAGAACGCATGTTCCCCACAATCCTCTGGGGGAAATGACCTGATGAGGCGATCAGATTAGTGGTCAGGGGAGCCTTCACCAAGGAGGTGCCCCTGGAGCTGCCGGAAGGTCAAACAGAGGCAGGACCTAAGGGGTAGAGGTGGGAGAGGGACTCCGAGAATCAGTCTAGGGCACGGTTGGAAGCATGGCATGTTCAGGGAAGGGGAGGGCATGCCGGGGGGCCTCCAGGCATCCCAGGGACTTCCTGCCTCAGACCCCACGAGGAGCAGGTTCCTCTAGCTGTGCCCTCCGCTGGGGGAGCTTTGGGGGCCCTGAGGACCCCAGGAGCCAGCACCCTGGCAGCTGTTAGTGGGCTGGGAGGCTGGGAGAGCCAGCACTGTACTGCCAGGGCTGAGCCGGGCCGCTCGGGGCCCTGGCTGGCTTCTGCACACACCGGGAGCAGCAGTGAGGCACCCAGCTAAGCAGGACCAGGCCAGGGGAGGAGAAGACAGGAAGGAGGGCCTGCGCTCCAGCCTCAAATAACCGCACCTCTCCTTGCTTCGCTCCCCACAGAGGAGAAGTACGTCACTGTGCAGCCTTACACCAGCCAAAGCAAGGACGAGATTGGCTTTGAGAAGGGCGTCACTGTGGAAGTGATCCGGAAGAATTTGGAGGGCTGGTGGTACATCAGGTAGGAGCCTCAGCGGAAGAAAGAGCTACTTCTGCACCCTCTCCCCCCGCCCCCAGCCCCGAGTAGCAGGGCCGAAGGCAGAATGGCCGTGGGTTCCAGTGGCAGGCAGATGCTGACGGGAGCTGTGCGCCCACCGCCCGGGCTTGGCTGCTTCTGCACGGCTGAACAGCTCAACCAGAGCGCTCGTCTTGCAGCTTCTCTCCTGGGACACGGAAAGCAGAGCCAGAGTTGCGGCTCAGCTTGCAGACCATGGTGCAATCCCTGACCCATGCATCTGCCAAGAGGGTCCAGCACATCTGAATTTGGTTTTCTGTGTCCGGCCTTGGCCTCCTGGTGCGCTCTGTAGTTCAGGCTGCCCGAAGCGCCAGCATCTGCAAGCCTTGTTGAGGTCCTGGCGGGCAGCCCCTGCTGCCCACATCTCAACACCGGGGGCCCCAGATGCCGGCTCTGCCCAGGCCATTCCCCTCTGCGGGGCTGGCTCTTGGGGTCGTGAGAGCCAGGGCAGAAGCCAGGCCTGAGCCCAGGCCTAGGTCAGAGGGCTCCTCCCCCTGCCCCTCCCTCTTGCAGGGCCGAATCACATTTCCCGGCTGAGAAACGCATTTGGGAGTGTGGGGAGGGGAGTGGGGAGCTTTCTCAGCAGTCCTGGAAGCAAACTCAAGCCTGTGGGCTTCACTCGCCTCTCCCCCACCCAGTCCTACCCTCCAGTCCCCTCTACCCTGGGGCTCTGAGGCCAGCCAGCACCCTCCCAGCGGGGCCTTGTTTGCAGGAAATGTTTTTGGGTGCTTTAGAAGTGGCTCAGCTGTGGTGATCTCACCCGGTTTCTGACAGCCCCGTATCTGTGGGCTCAGGGGACCACTCCTCAGCCCGTCATACCTGGGAAGCCGACCCACTGTGGGCAGGATGTGTGCTCTGAGCCATTTCCCACAGTGGGAACAGGATTGAACAAGGGACGTGGACACTCATGAGACAGTATCTCGGACCACAGCAGACCATGGTGTCAAGATTGGGCTGTGCTGACAGCTAGGGTGAAGGTCACTGGCCACATGGGATTCAGCCTTAATGTGACCTGACAGGTCGTAGCCGCCCCTGCCCTTGGCCCCATGCATACCAGTCAGGAGGGCTGAGGGGTCCTTTTCTACTCCGTTGGGTGAGACAGGACCGTGTGCCTAGACATATGTTGCCCAAAGCCACTGCCCCTAAACTTTCACGTTCTCTAAGAAACTAGACCCAACCCCCAAATCCAGCAACCACAAGTCAACGTGGAAAGGCCAGCAAACATTCTAAGGCAGGCTGGTAACCTAAACCACTTGCCTGGGGGTTATCTACAAGGCTGCTGGGGTCTTTTAGTTTCTTAAAATGCCCAACAAGGTCACTCCAAGCGGTCTCTTCTCGTCAACTCTTGTCCCCATGGCCTAACCCTTTAGCGCTCAGTGGGAGCTTCAACTGAGAAAACCCTCCTGAAAAGATTCCGCCTTAGGAAGGCTGCCAGACACCCCCTGAAATCTGTCATTTCCCACCATTCCAGGCTCTGTGTTGATCCTCATTTCCTGCCTGTCTTCTCCCCTCTCCCCTCACACACATACCCTCCCTCTCCCTCTCCCTCTCCCCCTCCTTTTCCAGTTTGCTTCCCTCTGGAGTCATTCCGCTCTCCAGAGCTGGGAAGCAGATGTGAGCAGAGCTGGACCCAGACACACATAGCCGCTCCTGATTCCCCTGGATCTCTCTGCCCGGAATCTAATTTTATCCATGTAACACCAGAGGAACACAACAGGGCTTGAAATGCGAGCACTCAGGGCAGTGAGCAGGCCTGACCATCACTCCCACGAGACCCCGCTCCCCATCTCCCCAGTGTTCTCGTAGGAGAACACCTGCAATAGCCAGCAGGTTCTTCTTCATCTTTTCTCTGAGATGCGGGAGCACCAGGTTCTGGCAGCACCAGATGCTGCCAACAGCTAACCTCGGGCCCTCTGCTGCTTGCTTGGCTTCTCTGAGCCTTGCATCTTGACTCATCTGTAAGATTAGGCATCTTTGCATTTTTTGTTTCCATCCACCCCTGAAATTTCTGTGCTTCTCTCTGCACCCATTACCTTGGGAGGCCAGGCCAGCCCCTTGACTTCCATCCATTTGTTAACTGATATCTGCCTTCCAAGCCCCAAACAGGGGCGAGGGCCAGACCAGTGAGCTTGGGACAGCCTGCCTGTACGTTCCAGTGGTGTGAACATAAGAAGCCTGCTCCTACCTAAGCTTTCCAGCAAAGCTCAGACGTGCTGATAGAAACTTTAGCTTTCATGTTCCTTTTTCTCTCACCTAATGAACACCCAACAAGGTCAGATCAGGGAGGCAAAAGCGGGGGGGACTGTCAGACATCTGGCACGGAGGAGCCATTCCAGAGAGCCAGATGTATCCCAGGGAGCAGACAGGGACACTGCAACCCAGACTCAGGGGCATTGGCCAGCAAGTGCTGGCCCAGGAAGTAAGCTCTTCATGGGCTTGCGGAAAAGCTCTCAACACCATGGGGAAAAAAGGAAAAAGCTGCTTTTCAGAAGTCATCAAATCACCTCAAATTAAGCCAGCCCTATCATTTGCCTTTTGCTCTTGTTTATGGGTTTTGATTTTGTTTTGATTTTGTTTTGTTTCACTTTGGTTTTGTTTTGCCATACCAAAGGTTTTCATTTTATCCAGTCATGTGCTTTTAGTCTTTCCATTTATGGTTTTGGCTTTTGGAGTCCTATTTAGAAAGATTTTCTCCCATCCAAGTACTAACCAGGCCCCAACCAACCCCCAAGATTAAGCAAATATTCACAACTTGCATTTTTTATTTTGCTCTGGTGTGAGTCCAGGATCGCACTTGCTTTTCCTGAGTAATCAGTCATCTCCAAGTGGGTTGATACCTCGTCCCTACCTAATTTGAAATGTTACCTTTTTTTTTTTTTTTTTAAGATTTTATTCATTTATTAGAGAGAGAGTGCACGCGTGCAGAGAGCAGGCACAGGGGGAGAGGGAGAAGCAGACTCCCCGCTGAGCAGGGAGCCCGATGCGGGGCTCGATCCCAGGACCCTGGGATCATGACCTGAACCAAAGGCAGACGCTTAACTGACTGATTCAGCCAGGTGCCCCGAAATGTTACCTTTTGTACCAGTCTGTTTATTGACTTGTTCTGCAAACTTGATCTGTCCATCACCCTTGCAGTAGCACTGATACCTTACCCACCGGGTCACTCTTCTTTATAGGCCTCTTCCTAATAGGTCTCAATATATCCTATCTTTCTGGATAATTTTTTTTAAAGATTTTATTTATTTATTTGACAGAGAAGCTAGCAAGAGCAGGAACACAAGCAGGGGGAGTGAGAGAGGGAGAGGGAGAAGCAGGCTTCCCGCGGAGCAGGGAGCCCGATGCGGGGCTCGATCCCAGGACCCTGAGATTATGACCTGAGCCGAAGGCAGACACTTAACGACTGAGCCACCCAGGCACCACTCTGGATAAATTTTTGCAGCTACTCTATCCCTGCAGGTTGCAGAAGAGAAAAAAAATGGAGCTGCAGGGTAGAGACTTGCCCAAGGGACCAGAGACGAGAAGTCGGGGGGCTCCTACCTTCTCTTACCTCTGCTGCTTCTTCACCTCTCTGATAACACTTCCCTTTGCCGGGGGCGTCCAGCTAATGCTCCGCACTCACACCTGCTCTTATCTCTAGCGTTGCCCTCTCTGTTGTGAGGCAGCAGGCTACTGTGAAGTCTACCTTTGGGGCACCTCCGAATCTGAGGAGTCTTCTAATCCTGACGTCCCACATTTGCCTGACTTTGCAGAGCACGAGAGCCCACACCAGGAGGGATCAGGCAGAGAGCAAGGAGACAGGAAGAACTGGTGTTCTAGAAGTCTTTTCCACCGGCCCTCAGTTCCACTCCCCTCCAGAGTAGTGGGATTGCCCGGTGTCGGAGAACACGGTCGGAAAGGCTCAGCTGGGCCCAGCCAGACGGAGCCTGGTGGGGTGTGAGGTCAGGCAGCCGTGCTTGGGTGATGCCATGTTCCGCCCCCTCCCCCTCCCCGCAGGTACCTGGGCAAAGAGGGCTGGGCGCCAGCCTCTTACCTGAAGAAAGCCAAGGACGACCTGCCAGCCCGCAAGAAGAATCTGGCAGGCCCAGTGGAGATCATTGGGAACATCATGGAGATCAGCAACCTGCTGAACAAGAAGGCGTCAGGGGATAAGGAGACTCTGCCGGCCGAAGGCGAGGGCCCTGAGGCCCCCGTCACCAAGAAGGAGATCAGCCTGCCCATCCTCTGCAATGCCTCCAGTGGCAGTGGCCTGAGCATCCCTGAGCGGAATGTCTCCAAGCTGGCCCAGGGCTCACCAGCTGTGGCCAGGATTGCCCCACAGAGGGCCCAGATCAGTAAGAACCTCCCTAAGCCCCGCGTCCTCCCTGTACCGCTCTTTGGAAAGCGGTGACAGGGTGCAGGGAGATCTAGACTGACCCCAACCCTGGCCTCACTCTGTGGACTTGTTTCATGCTAATCATGGGTGGACAAGGCAATTCCTCACAACTCTTGCACTGAAGATCAGTTACAGGAGTACGTAAGCCGCTGGCATTCCCACCTTCCCTAGAAGAGACCAGGAATGGTGACACTGCAGATCAGTGTGTCCCCCAGGCTGGGAAATGGGGGCCCCTGCGCAAGGCTGCTTTACAGACTGACAGCCAGTAGAACATCTTTCCCGCCCTTAGCCCTCCTCCCCTCCTTCCCTGTCGCCTCCCGCCAGTTACCGGAAGCCTAAAAGACTTGGGAGGAATCGCTTTACCTCTCCCCAAGCAGTTTAAGAGGGCATTCTTTAGGAATATCCTCCATCCTTATAAGAGAAACCCGCTACCTGGCTCCCTCCAAATCTCTGTCCTTACCTGGCTCAACAGCATCTTCAGTTCAAGGTTAAATTGTCCTACGTTATGAGACCAGCTTCTCTTTATGTCCAGCCGTCCTTAAAATCTGGAGGAAAGCTGTTTTTTAGCTTAGTTCTGAACTTGGTTTTAAGTTAGCTCTTGTGCTTGAAACCTTTTGGGCAAATCACTCGGGAAGTGTTTCTTGGGCACCCACCCTTGCCTGGCAGCGTGCCAGCTTCTAAGGATTTGGCAGTGAGTAAAAAATAGACATAGTCTCCTCCTAACTTTTGAAAATCTGATAGAACTACTTACCCTTTCTCCTGAAAAATGCCTCTTTGTACATTTTGAAATGTGCATATCATTTTAGAGGGTTTGTGGATCCCCTGAAACACAGCCCAGGAAGCTTAAAGGTCTGTGGTTTCCTAGTAAAGAAACTATAGTGCCTGAGAGCATGGGTCCTTCCAGAATGTGGGACAAAACCAGGAACGTCCCAGGCTCGGGAGGTGGCCGTACCTAGGGCGGGCAGGTTCCAGCACTGTTGCCCATCATCTGGCTGGGCTTCCTGAAGCCATGTTTCTTGTTCTAGGCTCCCCGAACCTAAGGACAAGGCCTCCACCTCGCAGAGAATCAAGCCTGGTACGTGTGCTGAATTTCTCCCCCCAGTTTTCTTCCTGTCTCTGGGCGTGCACCCTAACGGCCCCAGCTCATTGGCGGTCTCATTTCAGTGCCTGTCAGTCCAGGGGTTTTCCAGGGCCCTGCTAGGCTGCCAGCTTTGTGGGGCCAGGGGCAGAGAGGAAAGCCTGGCGATCCCAGACATCCCGGGGGCCTCGCTGGACAGTTTATATTCAGAACCGCACTGCACTCCAGAGCTAAATCAATCCATCCCAGCCACTCCACTGGCAGACATAAACGTTTAGACTGGCCAGCACGAGTGTCCGGCCAGGGCACTGCCAGGGGCTGGAAACGGGGCGGCCGTCCATGTGCGCCTGGAAGCCTTTCAGCTCCGCCTTCCTGGCCCAGGAGTAGCCAGTGGTTGCGGTGGATGCCAGAGCCTGCGAGGGCAGAGGGCAGCGTGGCGAGCACCCTCCGGGGAAGGGTAAATAGCCAGGACTCGTGTGGGCTGAAAGTGAGAGGCTCAACTTGCTGGGGTCCTTGGCTCCTAGGGGTGCAGGTCCCGGTGTGCTGACCATTAGGGAAGCAGATACGCACTTGGCGTGCAGGGCTTAGGTAGCGGTGATGCTGGTGGCAGGCCGGAAGCCCTAGTACAGAGAACTCTCCTCAGGGGTAGCGGGGTGCAGTGGAAAAGAATGGGGCTTCGAGCCTACCGGGCGTGGATTCATATTCTACTTCTGACACTTAGGAATAGCAAGACTCTGGGCAAGTCCATTACCATCCGCGAGCCTCAGTTTCCTTCTAAGATGGGGACAATGGCAGCCGTCTCCTCGAGCTGCAGGAAGGAGGGAATGGGATGGTGTGGGAGGGTTTCTGTTTCCCGTGTCAGCTGTCACACCGTGTGGAGAAGGGTCCCTGAAGTCTCACTGGGCTTAGTGGTAAGGGTCACCGTGGCCCACGACCTCTGCCCTGGAGAGGGGGAGCAGCGTCCCTGGAAGAGCGGGCCGTCAGTAAACGGGTTTTGAGGATGAGGCCTGTGGGGATGAGACCACCCCTGCCCTGGCCAGAAGCCCCAGGGGAGCTCCTGCGTCATTGTCATTGTCCCCTCGAGTGTTCCCCGACTAAACCGTGAGCTCTCCCTTCCCATCTCTCTCAGTCCCAGCGGATTATTTTCAGACTCGAATTTGGCAAGAACGGGGTCGTTCCTTCCACACGGACCAAACGCGGGGCGGCTAGATGCGGCTGAATCCCACCTGGCGGGGTGTCGGGGCTGGGCTGGGGCCTGCGCCGCGTCTGCTCTCACACACACACCTGCAGGGCCAGGTACCAGGGCAGGGCAAGTCCCTCAAAAGCAGCTTCCTCCTGCCCCTTTGCTCACTGCGACCCAAGGCAGCTGGGCCATGACTGGCAGGATTAGGCCAGGCCGAGCCGTGAAGGATGCAGAAGGTTCCAAGGAATAGGGTGGTGTTTCAGAAGGAATGGTCAGCTCTGGCTTCTACTTGTGGAGCTTGTCCTGTGTCCCTGGCTAGACCAGAAGTTATGTATATATCAGTAATCCTCTTCATGACCCATTTTACAGACAAGGAAGTTGAGACTCAGGTCGCAGGCTTTGCCCAAGGCCACACAGCTGGTGAGCTGCCGAGCTGGGATTGGAGCCCGCACGTGTCCAGCGGCAAGGCAGAGGGCTTCTGAGGTCTTCCTGTTACACCACAGCGGCTTCCCTCTCCCTGCCCGCTCCCTCCTCCCCCCACACACTTTTTTGTTTTGCTTTAACCCCTTTGTATGATACTGGGACCTGCTGAAAATAATGGGGTGGCATGAGATCGGTTTGACCACAGTAGAGAGGCCAGATGAAAGTAGGATGTCTGCTTCATGAGGGCAAGGGGGTTGTCCTCTTGGTTCACTGTTAAATGCCCAGGGCCTTAGACCGATGTCTGGCACCCAGAAGATGCACAATAGACGTTTGTGAAGTAAATAAACAAGGCTCAGAAGTGATGGCCACAGCCAAATTCTGAGTGTCCTTGAATGTCATGCTTAGATACTGGTGTCACCAATCCAGCATGTTCTACCCTGCCCACAGAACAGAGGGTCTCAAGTTTGGTTCGGTGCTTGCCTGACCATTTGGCAGCATCGTGATGAGCCACCAGGGGCCCTCCTCACCCACCTCCACACCCCTTTCCACCCCTCCTCCTCCCCGAAGAGATGCCAGATGTCACCGCTGCGGGCCCTCACCTCGACTTAAGGACGTGCCTCTCCTCCCACAGGGCAGTTGGCACAGGCTTTGTTACGACAACCTCTCTGCTTTGTAATTTTCTTTTGGGGACCTAGCCACTGAAGCACCTACAAACTGGACCTCCCGAGATGTTGGGGTGGAAATTACTGTTGCTAACTGATCGTTGTTGATAGCGCAGAGGAGTTTCAAGTGAATCATAGGTAGCAGTGGAAAGTCTGCTCAGGAGAACAGTCTCTTGGGGGAGACAGCCTGAGCCACGTGTGACAGATCCTTCCTCAGGCTCTTGGCCCCCCCAGCCGGTGTAAACGCCACCCTCCCACCTCTGCTGCCCTTCTGATCAGGCAGGTTTTGCTGACTGAGCCCTTCTCTGCCTTAGGGGTTCCAGCTGCCCAAGCCGCCAGAGCCCCCTTCTGTTGAGGTGGAGTATTACACCATTGCCGAATTCCAGTCGTGCATCTCTGATGGAATCAGCTTTCGGGGTGGACAGAAGGCGGAGGTGAGTCTCGGCCATGAAGCTGAGGGCTTTAAGTCATGCTGCTCAAAGACCTGCCATGCGTCCCATTTATGCCTTGCTGGCAACGTGGCAGGGGGGCAGGCAGGAAAGATACAAAAGCAAGTCCCCCGGAGATAAGAATTTGCCTTAAGCCAGTAAGTGCCACAGTCAGGACTGGAATCCAGGACTCCACCCAGTGCGTCCCTCACAGCAGCATTTCCCAAAGCAGACGGGGGGCGCTGCTGATGGAGGTGCCCGGACACAAGGGGCTTCTGCGGTTGAGTAGGTTTGAAGGACAGTGGGTTAAACAAAATCCACCCCCGTTATGTGGTTTCCGTTGCAGAACTTGTCAGAGCCTACGCTATAGGGATGTCACTGTGCATCTCTAAGAGGGGACTAGAATAGCAGCATTGCCCAGAACCATTTGGCCCCAGCACACTTTGTCTCCTGGGAGCACCTTGGGGGCCGAGATTCCGAAGAACTCCCCTTAGTGAGTGGTGCTGTTGGGAGAAGGTGGTCCACGCAGCCAAAGTACTAAGGACCTGGGTTCTGGCCATGTCCACACCGCAGTCGCCTCTGGCCTTTGATACAGTCCCTTCTCTCCCCAGGCTTTATTTGTCTCTGCCAAGTGGGGTAACAGACTCTGTGGTGCACCCCCCAGCCTAGCATTTATGAGACTCTACTTTGTGGCTGTTTGCAGGGGGCAGAGATCTGTGAGGCAGGTCAGTTCTCTGGAGTGGCTCGTGTAGGAACGGGGTTAAATCCAATTAACAGCTGTCGGAAGAGCCCCCGGGCAGCCTCCGCCTGTGGAAATGATGTCCCCAGTGTGAATGTTTTCCATCACGTCTTGGATTTGGAACTAAATTTCCGAGAGAAATAATTCTGTTAGTGGTGCCTAGGTTTCCAGAAGAGCCTCCAAAGCTCACCATCTAACCAAACTGTGGTACTTAGGATCTACCCAAGCTTAAATTTTAAGTATGGGGAGGGCAGGGCGAAGGAAGGACTATAGAACCAAAGGAAGGAGAAAAGTCCTTCCTCTGGTGGGGTCTGCAGAGGGCTGGTCTCAAGCAGAGCTTGCCTTCGGCAGTCTCTCTGTCTCTCTCTTCCTTCCCTGCCCCTCTTCCCCTAGTGCCAGTTTTTTCATACTTCCCCACCCCCTCCCCAGTACCTCTTTCTCCAGGAGTGTCCCACAATCCAAAATTATTTTCCCTTTATGTTCCCCAATCCAAATATAGCAGCACAACCAGCACCACACTCCTGGCCTTTACCTGATCTCAAACTGCAGTTAAGAAAGAAGCTCTTTGAACTAATTTATACTAACATGGAAATGACTAAAAGACCCTCATCCTTCCCACGGGAAATTATTTAACACAAAGAAATCCTTTCAGCCAGTGGGATTTTATTGGGATCCCACATGCAGCAAAATGACCACAGGCAGTGGGGGCACCAGGGAGGTGCTCTGCAGGGAGGCTCTGGGCTCAGGCCGTACCTCCCAGTTCAGCTCACCTGCATCTTCCCATTCTCTGCTGACATGAGACACCCTTTCCATGGTCACCAACGAAAGACCTAGCAGTACTGGCGGTAGGACGAAGGGCAGTGGAATTGCATTTTTTTATACCTATGGATCCTTGGCGAGTTGGGTTCTGTAGGGACTAGAAGCATAGCCTTGGGGGAGAGACAGGGGTCTCTAGACGAGGCTGGCTCAACCAGGGGTGCCGATGGAGACTTGGAGGACCAGGGGAGAGGCTGTGGGGGCGTAGGAGGTGATAGGGACCCGGGTTTGAATTCTAGCCCAGCACATATTACCCTGGGCCACGCACTCAGCAGCTCACTTGGCTCATCTGTGAAATGGAGACCCTGTGTCCTAGCCTGGCACATCGTCGTAGGGTCCAGCGATCCTCCCAACTCACCGGCCTGCCCCCTTCTCCCCTAGGTCATCGATAAGAACTCGGGCGGTTGGTGGTACGTGCAGATTGGTGAGAAGGAGGGCTGGGCCCCTGCGTCATACATCGATAAGCGCAAGAAGCCCAACCTGAGCCGCCGGACGAGCACGCTGACCCGGCCCAAGGTACCCCCACCAGCACCCCCCAGCAAGCCCAAGGAGGCCGAGGAGGGTCCGATGGGCTCTGCCGAGAGCCAGGACTCCCCGCTGAAGCTGAAGTACGAGGAGCCGGAGTATGACATCCCTGCCTTTGGCTTCGACTCAGAGCCCGAGCTGAGCGAGGAGCCCACGGAGGACAGCGGCTCGGGAGACAGGCGGCCCCCCCAGGCCCACAGGCCCTCCCCTGCCTCCTCGCTGCAGCGGGCCCGCTTCCGGGTGGGCGGCTCTTCAGAGGACGTGGCCGTGGAGGAGGAGACCATCTATGAGAATGAGGGCTTCCGGCCGTGTGCGGAGGACGCCCTGTCAGCCAGACGCTCCTCCCGGGACAGCGACTCCCCTGGGGGCTCCCCTCTATCCCTGGCCAGGAAAAACTCCCCCAAGTCGGGCTCCCCCAAATCGTCATCCCTCCTGAAGCTCAAGGTGGAGAAGAACGCCCAGGCGGAACTGGGGAAAAACCATTCCTCGGCCTCCTTTTCCTCGTCCATCACCATCAATACCACCTGCTCTTCCTCCTCCTCTTCCTCCTCCTTGTCCAAGAACAGCGGTGACCTGAAGCCCCGCTCTGCCTCGGACGCAGGCATCCGTGGCCCCCCCGCAGTCGGGCCGAAGAGGGATGCCGACCTGAAGGCGGGGCTGAGCTCGTGTGCCCGGGCCAAGCCGTCGGTCCGGCCCAAGCCGTTCCTGAGCCGGGCAGAGTCCCAGAGTCAAGAGAAGATGGACATCAGCACTTTACGGCGCCAGCTGAGACCCACGGGCCAGCTCCGGGGCGGTCTCAGGGGCTCAAAGAGCGAGGATTCGGAGCTGCCCCCCGCCACGGCCTTCGAAGGTCCCAGTGAGGGGTCCAGAAGAGGCTCTGCTGACCTCATAACCCCCCCAGCCGCCACACCCCCATGTCCCGCCAAGAAGGGACGCGAAGGGCAGGCCACCTCCTACACGACATGTAGCGCCTACCAGAAGGTCCAGGACTCAGAGATCAGCTTCCCCGCAGGCGCGGAGGTCCAAGTGCTCGAGAAGCTAGAAAGTGGCTGGTGGTACGTGAGGTTTGGGGAGCTAGAGGGCTGGGCCCCTTCCCACTATCTGGTGCTCGGCGAGAACGAGCAACCCGACTCCTCTGGCAAAGAGCCAGACACAGTAAGCCCCAAAAGCAAGCAGAACGAGGGCAAGTCCGACAGCCTGGAGAAGATCGAGAAGCGGGTCCAAGCACTGAACACCGTCAACCAGAGCAAGCGGGCCACGCCGCCCATCCCCTCCAAGCCCCCCGGGGGCTTCAGCAAGACCGCGGCTGCCGGCGCCGTGAAGATGAGGAACGGTGTGCGGCAGGTGGCGGTGAGGCCCCAGTCGGTGTTCGTGTCCCCGCCGCCCAAGGACAACAACCTGTCCTGTGCCCTGCGGAGGAACGAGTCGCTCACGGCCACCGACGGGCTCCGAGGCGTCCGCCGGAACTCCTCCTTCAGCAGCGCGCGCTCGGCTGCCGCCGAGGCCAAGAGCCGCCTGGCCGAACGGGCTGCCAGCCAGGGCTCGGACACGCCTCTGCTGCCCGCCCAGCGCAACGGCATCCCCGTGTCCCCCGTGCGCCCCAAGCCCATTGAGAAGTCCCAGTTCATCCACAACAACCTCAAAGATGTGTATGTCTCCATCGCGGACTATGAGGGGGACGAGGAGACGGCAGGCTTCCAGGAGGGCGTGTCCATGGAGGTCCTGGAGAGGAACCCCAACGGCTGGTGGTACTGCCAGATCCTGGACGGGGCGAAGCCCTTCAAAGGCTGGGTGCCCTCCAACTACCTGGAGAAAAAGAACTAACGGGAGGCTGTGGGTCCTTCCGGCCTGGGTGTGGAGGAGTGGTGAGATGGAGACAAAGGGGAAAGGGAAAGTGGGAGGGGGTGGGGGGGACGTTAAACCCTGCAGAATGCGTGAGCCCAGCCATGCTCCCCTCCAGGCTGTCCCCTGGCTGGCAGGTAAGGTCTGGCGGGGGCCCACACTGAGGCGGGGGGCACCAGGCCTGGGACCAGAGGTGAGAAAGCTGAGCCCCGTGTGGGCACCTCGGTGACTTGGCTGATGCACCTGGCACCATCTGGGGCAGGCCGGGTGGGAAACTCTTGATTGTGCCTTGGCTGCAGATCTGGGAAAGATGTGATGGCAGGGGCCTCCCGCGCCCTGCCCCTGCCCAGCCTGGTTTCTGTGGTTAGCACCTCGCCACCGGAGGTGGTCCTTGGATCATCCTAAACCTGTACTCACGAATTGTGCTGGTTTCCCCGGGACTGCGGCCACCCACCGCGGGTGGCACTGGGGCTTGGAGGCGTCTCCTGGGAGCTCAGCCTGTGCCTGGGCTGGGCCGCTGTCAGTGTCTGTTGGTTGAAGAGAAAGCAGTTCCACAGGTGCCAGCAAAGACCACCTTGCTTACCCGTCACTGTCCCTGGCTTTGAGAAGGGAGTCCCCTGCCTGGGGCACCCCGTCTGCGTTGGACCTGCAGCCCCAGAGTTTACAGAGCGGGTGGGCGAAGCCATCGGTCTCTTCACCGTCTGCACAGACTTTATTTTGGGTGTTTCTGGGTAGGCAGTTCTTTTGCATGTTTTGGGAGAGGTTTATTGATTTGGGGCTTCTACGTCAGCCCTTGGGTTTTGGTCTTATTTTAGGGGTTGTTTGGGGGCCCAAGGGCGGTCAGCCTCGTGGGGGATGGGACAAGGAGCAGATGGGGCTTTTCTGTTGTGCTCTTGCTGGGAGGTTGTTGGTTGTGTTTGCGTTTCACTTTCTTTCCCTCCACAAGCCAAAGTCCCTTCATTTGGTTCCCACTGTTGCCGACAGGACCCTAGCATGACACTTGCTGGGGGGCCTGGGGGCGGAAGGCCCAGGTCCCAGACGTGGCAGAGCAGAGACGCCCCAGTGGGGGCAGAACCCTCCCCAGGAGGGAGGAGGGGCTTGTCCAGGAGAGAAGGCAGCTCTCAACCTGCTGGGTGAGCACCGTTCTGCGTCCGTTCTCCCGCCTGGGCAGGACCAAAAACCCTTACCTGTGAACTGTGGAGAAGCAACCAGCGCCCCCACCGAGGGCTGAGGGGACCCCAGCTGGGCGGCCACCAGCCACGCCCTACCTACACATGATGCCACAGGTACCCGAAAAGATGGAGGACCCCCGGACCAGGAGCCAACCCAGTCTGCCCAAGGGGCAGTGCCCCCGTGAAGAGAGGAGAGAATAAAGTCCCTGTCAACTTTGGGTTGTCTTTCGATCGTTGACGTTTCAGAGGGGACCCTCTGGAAGCCTCGGCTTCCCCAAGGACTCCCCCTTTGCTGGGAGTGGAATTCCACACGTGCCTTTGATTGTGGACCGATGGGGCTTCACGGCCACCAGCTCAGCTGCCAGAGGCCCGGACTAAGGGTTGGTGTTTTCTACAAAGGAGGAAAGGCCCTCCCTCTCCCCCTGCTCCCCCGCCCCCCAAGGCAGTATATGTTGCCTGAAGATCAGCACGGGACCCTGTGTTCCGTGCCTTCAGTACCCCACCCACCCCACCCCCCAGACCTGAGGCCTCGCGTGGGGACCTCCCCAGACCTCCTCCCTCGCCGCACACTGATGCCTGGCAGCTCCAGCAAACCGCTCCTGTTCCTTGTTGAAGGGCCGTGGTGAGATTTTGTTTCCTTTTGTTTGTGAGTTTGTTTGAAATTGAAATTAGTTATTTTCTTCTGCTGGACAGTATTAAATAGAGCAGGATATTGAGTTAATCTGCTAGGTTGCAGTACTAATGGTAGTGGTTTAGTGTCTTCATATTAATATTATTTGGACTTATTTGAACAATAATGATAAAGAAGTGGTTCATTATTTTTTAATTAATGCACTTTAATAAGGTGGACTGGGAAGAAACCCAGAGAGCAAAGTGCATTACTTAAAGATGCAGTATATACTTTTCTCATTTTTAAGCAGCACATATTTATTAAAAGAAAAAGAAGTAATTTATGATTATTTAAAATAAAATTTAAAAGTAGAGTGACTATTGGGTGAAAGGACCTTCCGTGTAGCTGTCTTCCAGGGGGAGGGCCCCAGCGGCCTCGCTCCTCCTCTGTCTGCACTGAGCCAGTTCAGTCAGTAATGTGCCAGCCAGGCCAGGAGGGAGCGCGGGACGCATCGGCCAAGCACAGAGCAGCATCTCAGTTGGGACTGGACCGCAGTGTTCCCCAGAGCCTGACTTTCCCTGCCCTTCCTCACTGTCTGCGCTGCCCCATGGGGCTCTCCAGCACCCACGAAGCCCACCTTCTCTGCACTCCCCAAGGACCCTCTCTCCTTGATCCCCAGTGCTCTAAGTGACGGTCATTAAAAGTGACCTTCAAGGTCATTCCATCCTATCCCCTCCTGTTACTGCAGCCCAAGGACAAGAAATTACTTTCCCGAAATCACGGGGCTAGCTAATGGCAGAGCACCCCACTGTACCAATCCTTGCACTCCTTCCCAACCCCATTGTAGTTTATCGTGTGGTCATCATGTTTACATTGTGACATCCAGCCCTCTCAGGATGGCTGGGAGTTGCTCAGGCATCTAGGAGAAGTGGGGAATGCTGCCACCTGGTGACAGCATGTAGATTTAGGCAGTGAACAGGGATTGCCATGCCCCGTCTTCGCACCTCACCCCCCTCACCATCACCCCCTGACTCACAACACAGCACAAACCCTGCAAACCCAAAGAGAATATGAATACTTGAAGCAAGAAGGGTGCATGCCAGTCCCTCTCAGACACGGCCAGGGGGTGCCAGGCCTTGTGCTCCTGGACTCCCAGCCCCACCCAGGGCAAGAGGGCCTTTCCCTAGAGCTACTGAGCTGCTTTGTGTTGTTGGAGGGTATCGCCAGCAGCAGGTGGAGGAGGGAGGGGCCTGCGGCTCTGACCCATCTGGAGGAAAACCAGATCGGACTAAAAAAGGAAAAAGAAAAATGAAATCTCAGCAGTGTCCAAACCCAGTTTCCCATTAGTTGCGATTGAAAATGTGAAATGGCTTTGTATTGCTGTATACTGCAACTTTAATCATAATGAGCCCTTCTGAGGTCATTATTGGGCTTTATATAATGCCTGAAGATGCATCATTTGGTGCTTTTTCTTTCAGTTTAAAGACCTTTTTCTTTCATTACAAGGGGGAAAAAAATGTCTTCATCTCTCTCCCACTTTGGAACAGCGGGCCTGGCTGGGGCCCCTGGCCCTGCCACGCTGTTCCCACCGGGCCAGGGGATGCCAGGGGCAGCAGGAGGGAGCTGGAAGGGGCAACTCTGGACGGCAAGCGTGCCATCTGCCCCTGGTTGTAGCCGGGCCCTGCCTTGCCAGCCTCAGCACTCCACCCCTAGCCTGGCCCCAGAGGCTTCTCTTTCTTACTCTCGATTCTCCATCTTGACGAAGGCATTATATAGAATCGTTTTAATCACTTTCAGATGTTAGAGCAGCATATTTTACTGGTATTTATATCCATCGCTTTCCTCAGCAAGGCATGTTACTACTTTTATCATCTAAGGAAGAAAGACAAGGGAATTTCGGTTGAGCATTATTTTCATATTACTAGTATTTGCAGAGTAGGCGTAGAACTATTTAAGTTTAGACCTTGGTTTGGTAGTTTGTTTTGTTTTAAGGAAAAAAGAAAAAGATAAAGTAGCCCCTACTTTTCCTGTTTTGTGGTTTTGTTTTTTTTGTATTTAACTAATATATTATTTCTTTAAGGTTACTCACTTCCCTTACCCCTCCGAATACTTTGCATTCTCAATCGAAAATGAAAACAATCTGAGAGACAGGAAAAGTGCAATATTACCGAGGGCTGCCAGGGCTCGTTGGGACAGCGGTGGGAGACCCAGTGGCCCGGTGTGTCCGTAGGAGGAGGTGGGGTTGTGGAGCAGATCGGTGACCTTCTGGGTGTTGATCTTTGACCCCTCCTCCCCTGGCAAGGTGGCAGAGGGCAGCCCCTTTTTCTGTTGGGTGTTCTCCACCCAGGAGGAATTCAGGGACGCGGGCACGGGGCTCTCGACCTCCTGGGGCCCCAGCCCTCGGAGCAGAGCAAGGGCATCCGGGAACAGTTCCTTGTTTTCATTTCCATTGCTTTTCAGCTAGCTGCCCAGAAAGACCGGTCTTAAAAAATCAGCCCCAGCAGCCCTGTCTCACCCCAGTCTCCTGATGTGTGGGCCATGATCTTTTGATGTATGTTTGAGTCTTTTTAAAACTATGTAACCTCAGTTCGGTTTATGGGCAGGAACCCTACATGTAACCAAATCTTTTTTGGGGATGTGGGTGCCTTGAGCCCTACATACCCCAGTGAGACACCAATTCCCACAAGCCTGCAGCTAGGCCTGGTGCTAAGCTTGGGCCACCCATTCATCTCAATGACTTCAGCCTGAGGAGGGAGCCCTGCCTCTTGCTTAACACCCCAACAGTTCCCAGAGGGCCTTAGAGAAGCATCTGAAGGGCCTACTCAGGTCTTTGTAGACAGCTTCCCACACCAGGTACCAAGCCGGCCTCCTCCTCACTTGGCGCAGGTCGAGAAAGCAGCAGGATGGGAAGTCTCTGGGTCCAAGCCCTTGGAGCTCTGCCCTTCAGGGCTCCAGGGATGTCCTCGCTGGCTTGTCCCTCCATCTCCAGTACTGTATGCTTGCTGCTTCAACCCCTCCATTTGGTGAATTTCTGTACAAACGTGGATCTGCGTGCCCAGAGTGGGACCGTGCCCCAGTGTGTGGGTGTCTCTCCTTGGGAGTTTGTATGTCTGTATGTCCAATCTTTGAGAATCTTGATGCAGAGCTCTCTGGAAAGAGAATCATCCACATTGCTAAAGAATTAAGATTCCCTCATTTTTTTGAGGGCCGTGTGTTGAGAGAGAGTGTGTGTGTGTGTGTGTGTTG